GTCTATATTTGTATGCTTCGCATAGTAAATTGTAGGATTTATTTAATAACCGGAATATGAACATATAAAGTTAATAAAACTCATATCATGGTTTAGTAGAGGCCAATCTTTGATCGGGTGAGCGGGGCTGCTCAATTAATGACCTTCTCCTCTCATACCTAAGGTTCCGAGATGAACAGTGGCCTTAGCACGAGTCACAGGTTTCCTAATTTTTCTAAAAATATTAGGTGGCGACTCTAAGATCTGGTGATGCAATCCATTTTTAGAAAAGATTTTGTATTGAAACGGATTGTCCATAAAATACGCCAAATTTAAACTCTCATCTTTGTTTCACATTGTGCTCGTGAATGGTTATTGCACCTCTTCCAGTATTATGCTCAAGTATAAGAAGCGGAAGGTTTCTGCTGTTCGTGATTTTCCACCTGGGGGTGGTCAGAATGCTCCGCGTATCAATCAGTTGCCCCATATACTGAGGCAGCAACACCACTTGGTGATGAAGAGAAGTTGGTGGCTGATGAAAAGATGGTGAATGTTGCAAATGGTGATTGTATTAAAACTTCTGAAATTGGGAACAAATCATTATCTCATCAAGTGGGTGATAAAGAGAAGTTGGTGGCTGATGAAATTGGGAAGGTTTCTGCTGTTCGCGATTTTCCACCTAGGTGTGGACGAAATGCTCCGCATACCAATCAGTTGCCCCATAATACTGAGGCAGCAGCATCACTTGGTGATAAAGAGAAATTGGTGGCTGATGAAAAGATGGTGAATGTTGCAAACGGTGGTTGTGTTAAAACTTCTGAAATTAGGAACGAATCATTATCTCATCAAGTGGGTGATAAAGAGAAGTTGGTGGCTGATGAAAAGATGGTAAATGTTGCAAACAGTGATTGTACTAAAACTTCTGAAATTGGGAACGAATCATTTTCTCATCAAGTGGTGAATAGTCTGGGGAAGTTGGAAATGGTTGACTCATTGGATGATTTGGTGGGGAGAGTGGTCGCTGCAGCTGGGGTTGTCAAGGTTGAATTGTCCCCTATTAAGGAGCCTCTTGGAAGTGACTTGCCAAAAGTTTTAGTAATCAATTCACCAAAATTGCCAAAGGAATTGCATGAAGTGGAAGTCCCTGCAGTGGTGAAGAGTGATGGTGCACTGGAAAGCAAATCTGTGTTGGAGATTGGTTCTTTGGCCAATGGGATTGTTCCAGCTGGTGGTGTGAAAGTGTGGTCTCCGCCGCAGTGGCCTATTAGTGATGCCAATATTTCAAAGGAGACCGCCCTGAAAAATAACTATCCTAGGAGAAGAGTTTCAGCTACTCGTGACTTCCCTCTTTTTTGTGGAAGGAATGCTCTATGCCTAACAGAGGAAGAGCGCCTGAGAATTGTTTTTGGAAACAAGACTTCACATGATCTAGATAAGGCTCCTGTGCAAAGTGGGCTGGTAAGAGAGACAGTAAGAGGTAACGGGGAATGCAGTCTAGTGACAGAGATAGCAAGGGCTGGTGTTGAAGAACTGGGTGGGGCTGTTCAAGTGGGAAATTCCCAAAGGAGAGAGTTGAAAGAAAGTGTGCCTGAACTAAAGATCAAGTCCCGAAATGTTTTTGTGCAAGGCGGGCCATTTGTAGAGACACCAGGGGCTGATATGGAAGGCAGTCAAGTAAGAGAGACAATAGGGGCTGTTGTTGAAGAATTGGATAGGGATGTCCCAGATAGAAATACTCAGAAAAGGAAGCTGGAAGGAAGTGTGCCTGAACCGATGACCAAGTCCCAAAAAGTAATCAAAAAGGATTATAAGGGTGTTAATGGTGTGAAAGGGGAAGTGGGGAAGGAGATTGTGGTTTACATTCATGATAAGGGTTCTAAGAGTAGCCGTCCAAATGATGTTGTTGCTTTGGGACATCGTGCAGACAGGGTGATTGTGCAAGGCCTGATGGCTGCACCAAACTGTCCATGGAGGCAGGTAAAAGGAATTGTCACCACTGGCCAGGATATTGTGAGGACTAGAAGTGACGTGATGAGGCATGACGTCAGCTACATCACAGGGCAAAAGAAATCTAATTCTATCAGCAGGACAAAGAAATATGAAGCGGATTATTCAGGAGGAAAATCTACGAAGAAGAAGAAATTACATCCTTATAGAAACGATGCATATGAAAGTAAAGGTCAACTGGTTATGAAGGATGAGGGAGATTTTTCTATACAAGAGCAAGATGAAGACTCTCCTGTGGCTCCGAGACCCTAAAATTTTGAGGTGGCTCTACCTCCTTTTGGTACCAATAGTTCGAGTCATGGTACCAATAGTTCGATTCATGGTAATGCACATGTCAAAGTGAGAGAGACATTACGTCTCTTCCAAGCTATTTGTAGAAAGCTGTTGCAAGGAGAAAAAGCAAAGCCGAGGCAACAAGGATGCCCAAGCAAAAGGATTGATCTGCTGGCATCACAGATTGTCAGAGCTAAGGGAAAAGAAGCAAACACAGGCAAAAATATAATAGGATCAGTGCCTGGAGTTGAAGTTGGTGACGAGTTTCAATATAGGGTGGAACTTGCTCTTGTTGGCATTCATCGCCTTTATCAAGCTGGTATTGATTACATAAATCATGGTGAAATGATCATCGCGACAAGTATTGTTGCCTCAGGGGGGGTTATGCAGATGATTTGGACAACCCGAATGTTTTAATATACTCTGGTCAGGAAGGAACTGTAGTAGGTCGGGATAAACAACACGAGGACCAGAAACTCGAAAGAGGGAACTTGGCTCTGAAAAATAGTGTTACGGTGAATAATCTTGTTCGGGTAATCCGTGGATCTAAAGAGACAAAAGCTTCTAACTCGGAAACAAGAGCCAAGATAGTTCTAACAACATACATTTATGATGGCTTGTATACAGTGAAGAGGTACTGGCATGATGTAGGGCCACATGGTAAGCTTGTTTTTAAGTTTGAGTTGACGAGAATTCCCGGCCAACCAGAGCTTGCTTGGAAAGAAGTGAAGAAATCAAACAAATATAAAATACGGGAGGGTGTCGTTGTGTTGATGACATCAGGAGGGAAAGAGTTATTTCCCATTTGTGCTGTGAACACCATGGACAATGAGAAACCACCCACATTCAATTACATGACTTAGATGAAATATCCTGATTGCTTCTCCCCTATTCCTCCTCAGGGTTGTGATTGTATTGGTGGATGCTTGGACTCTCAAAAATGCTCATGTGTACTCAAGAATGGAGGAGAGATACCATACAACTACAACGGTGCTATTGTAGAATCAAAGACTCTGGTCTATGAGTGTGGTCCTTCTTGCAAGTGCCCTCCTTCGTGCTACAATAGAGTCAGCCAGCATGGCATCAAGTTGTCTGGTGGTTTTTTGTTTGTGATCATAGATATAGAAGTTCTTCTCTCTTTGGATGAACTGGCAGCTCTCATGAATCACATTTCTTTTCATGTTTAAAGTAATATTGAAATCTGACATTTGTTTCCACATTCATGATCTGATTCATGTATGTAAATACTTCACATCTCATCCCTTAATTTTGAGAATTTGCTTATGATTCTTGTTCATATGCAAAGCTTGATTTTGATGAAAGCAGACGAGAAGAATGATGGAAAGGTTTGGATCATATTTCGAGGTGCTGGGATCTCCAATATCAGTTTTGACAATGTTTTTCTCAATTTGTTTACTGGACAACACATTTTATGGTTAGATATGGAGTGCCTTGACACAGTGTGGTTAGTCCTGTAGACTTGGCAGTAATTTTTTTCCAGACTACATGGTGGACTACTACTCCCATCCTCTGTTGGTCAGATCACTACACCTACCATGAAATGAATTATCTGCTGTATATGTTGTTTACTGAATTATTTGTATGTTTGTTACTGAATTAGTGATTCCAGAGAAGAAATCCGAAAATGTTAAACTTGGTAGCCTTCATATGGTACTGTTCTTGTCCCAAGGAAGAAAAAAATGTAACCTTCTGTGCCTTTCCCAGTAGTTTTTTGATTTAGCATTTTTTGGAATTTGTACATATGAATCTGGTGACAAATAAGTTATGAAATAGGTGACTGGTTGTTTGTGAAGGTTTCAGATTGCAATCTTTTATGTTTCTTTTGTGGCACATATATTTTGTGTCAACACAAATAATATCATTGCTGTGTAGGACTCACTCGTGGTGCATTTTTTGCTTTGAAAAAAAGTTAATGTTTATTATCTTGGCCAGTACTATTCTTTTTAAAAATTTAGTGGAGCTTTGTGTGTCCAAACATGCAGTCTTTCTTTTGCTTCTGAGATTGTTACAATCACTGTAAATATTGTTCTAAGTTCAAGATTCAGTGAGTTCTGTGCATACACACACAGACGCATGCATATTCATGTACATTACTGTTTGCTCAAGTGCTGCAATATCATTTTGCCCTTTTTGTGTCTATCCAACCATAAGGAAAAGGGAAAATATGTCATTCATAGCACACAAATACACTTCTCTATTGAAAATGGTAAAGAGCACTAGCTCTAACTCAAGCATAACTTTGATGACTTTATTAAACTCCTAGATACTATTTTTTTTTTTGGTGATAAATTTAAGCAAATATTATTGGAAAAACATTAAGATGATGCAAATAAAACGAAAAACAAGGCCCTAATGGGGTGTTTGTTTTGAGAGATAGGGAGGGGATTAGTAATCCCTAGGTATTAGTAAGGAGGAGGAAGGAGGATTGGTAAGGAGGAGGTAAAGATGGTATTAGAAAAATAGTGAGGGGATTAGAAATTTTTTTATTTTTTATATATTGAGAATTTTTTTTAAAATATAATGTTTAATTTTTTATATTTTTTTATTTGTTTTATTATTTTATATAAAAATAATTTAACAATTCCTCACTATCAATCCCCTCACTAACAATCCCCTCACTATTAATTCCCTCACTATGAATCCCGTCCATTTTATCTCTGAAAACAAACGGGGCCATAGTAACTATTGTTGATTTCTCCCACAATGAGTTGCTTTAATCCTAAAACAAATTGTCAAAACAAACATGGGATAATTGGGCCCACGGATTAATAATTTTAATCCCATACTCTAATCCTTCCAATCAAACATGCCCCTAGCGGGATTAGACTCCTAAGGGAATTAGACTCCTATAGATAGTAATTACTTAGCATCTTCTACTCAACATATACTTAGATATATATGTAGCAATAGGCATTGGGATTGGGATTTTGTAGGGCTCAAGTAAGTTGAACTGTTGTTTCATAAGCGGCCCCAGCCTTCCATTCACCAGGAAGTGCACTACGCAGCTCTGCCCACTTCAGCCCTGACCTGCCACTCACTTGGAGTCTGCAGTTTAGTGGACCTTTTGGTGGGCTAGACATGTCCCACACTGCACCATAGGCATTTCTCAATCCCCTCCATTGCTGACGATCCACCTGCACCAAAGAAGGGAATATATATTGTTAAATATGATATGCATAGGCCCTAGGCCCACCACCAGAACGCTAACGGAAAGTCTTTACTGGTGGCCCAACCCGGCCTTTTTTACTTGATAATACCCAGTTCACTCAAATAGTTCAGTGGACTGTACCTGCCACACTTCAACCGCAGTAATATCACTTTGGCCAGCTTGGTACAAGATGATAATGGCTAGGTAATCAGGAAACCTGCTGTTCTCATGGACCTTGACCATGAGGTTGCAACCTGGGTACTGGCAAGAAATTCTCCGGTATTCTATGTCAACCACACCATAAGCAAACAACTTCGAGGCTACGTTGGGACGAGCCAGCCTTGCGTAGGCACGGGTGCTTAGAATGAAGTCAGTCTTGTCCCCTTCACCGTAGTCTGTCACCACCACCCTCACTCCATCCTTGGTGCAAAGTTGCTGTATCTTGCACCTAACCTATCATATTAGTAAAAACAAATCGGAAACAACCATCATTATCGACACGAGCAAAGGAGCCACTTTTTTTATCAGTGTTTACATTTTCATTATTTTGCACTACTTCAATGATTCAAAAAGAAGGGCTTGTCCTGGATGCCAATTTCTTGCAAGCTCAAAAAGTAGTGTTTCCAATTGTTGCTTTTTACTGTTCAAAAAAAAATTGTAGCTTTTTATCATAGTCGAAGACTGAATATCAATATATATTCATTCTATTTCAAATATCATTATTCAGATTCTTCCAATATCCTCAAAAAGGGTCAATGACTTTTTAAGTAGCTTTGAAGTTGAATTACTTGGTAGCATGCACCACAACCAGTTCCATTCCTGTACAGTCTAGAGACTCCACTCACAGAACTATCGTTGACGGTTCTTCCATAGTCACCAAACCCGCAAGCTCCAGCTAATTTTTAATCACATTAAATCAGTGTTAATCATTGTAGTTAGATTATTAATGTAGAAATGTACACAAATCATCAATACATGTAAACCACACACACACACAACATATATATATATAGAGAGAGAGAGAGAGGGGATTGGGTGTATACATACTTGCAGTCCCCAAGCCATCAGGGCTGCCATAGTAGGTTGCTCTAGAGGACATAAAAGTGTCCTGGGAGTAACAAAGTGCTGGCAAAAGCACCAGGAGATAAAGAAGAGAGCAATAGCTTTTAGGTGCAAAACCCATTCCTTTAGACAAGATAACAATCTAAGAGAGGTATAGTTTCTGAAGATGATGAATGAGGAGAAGATTTTCAGATGGTAAGTTCACAAATGAAATCCCATATTTATAGTTGGATCATGAAGATTTTTTGTTTTCCTATTTTCTTTTTGGCGGCCTTTGATGTCCAGTCCCGGTTCTATGTAACCACTGATTAACTTTATACCAACCTACAAGGATATTTCTCTTTTATTGATATTGGTGTCTATCAACACAATTAAAATTTTAATCTAATCGTAAGGGAAGGTAGTATTCAAATCCATATCTTTAATCAAACATTTTAAGTTGAATGTTTTTGGGTTAAAACCAAAAAAACTGTGGGCTAATATTAATCGAAGGGGGGGGACTAAGCTACCTAAAGTCGTGTTTGGTTAAAAACACAATAAGGTGTGTGTCGAGGCTCTGTAATCCTATGGAGGCAGTCAAATCAAGTATGCACTAGAGTCCCCTAGATTTCCAAGTCTAAGAGCATCCCTAGCAGTGTTCTTAAACCCACTCCTTATCTTAACGGATTGGAAGTCCAAAATGCACCTCCATCAGCTCCCTTAAACAATTCCCAAATATAAGTATTGCTACAGTCATTTTCTATTTGTGGTGAGTCACTGTGGCTCCCTTATATCTGATTAAAGACATTTAGGGATGTCTTTCTGGGCAGACGTTATATCTGATTAAAGACTCCCGTTGGACGTCCACCCGGATGTCCTGTAATTGCCCTATAGCTGAAGAATAAAAAATACAAAATTAACCTGACTGGTCGACTGTCTGGTCGTTTGGCCGGTCAACCGCTCTGCTTGCCTTGCTTCGCTTCTGTTTGCCTGTGCTGCTACTTTGCTTTGCCTTCATAACAATTTAAAATATTATTTTAATAAAAGTGATTCAATGCTACTGCTTTGCTTTCATAATAATTAAAAATATTATTTTAACAAAATAGCGAGAGAATAAAGAATTTGTTAGGAAAAATAAATGAAAAGGTGATTTCTAGAGAATAAAATTTTTAATAATATTTTAAGATAAAATTTAAGTAAACCGCTGGATACGCTCTAAATAACATTATTATTAGAGGCAAAAGCACTCTTACAATTTTGTTAACAGGGGATATATAACCTTCAAAAACTAAAAAATCACAAATAAATTTTTTTTCATTAATTACAATTTTGTTGACTTTCATTTTTCTACTATACCAAAATCTAGAATATGAGAAAAATGTTTAGAGAAATTACAAAAAAAAAGAAAAAAGTTTGACTTTTATAATAAATTAAATTTTGAGTTTTTAATTTTATTAATTTAAATTTTAAACTCTTGATTTGTTTTCAATCTAAACTATTTGTCTATTTTCGTTAAGTAAAATCAACAATATATATATATATATATATATATTTTATTATTTTTTATTGAGTTTATGACTAAAATAATACATTCCTGTCAATTTTACTAAATAAAAATAGATAAATAATTTAATTAAAAATAAATCACAACGTTAAAATTTAAATTGATAAAATTAAAAAGTCAAAATTTATTTTGTTAAAAAATTCGAACACGGGATTTTTTTTGCGTAATTGTCCCAAAATGTTGGGTGGAAACAAAGTAAGGACTTCTTTGGTACATTTTCAAAAACAAAAACTTGTACGGTATATATCTTTTTTTTTCTTAAATGAAATTGATTCTAATTTAGATTTTTTTAGAAACAAAATATATATATATATATATTCAATTATTTTCAAAATAATTTTTTACTTTTTCCACTCTTGCCACCACCCACCAATAAGTTCCCACCAACTCTGATCACCTTCCTATAACCTTCGACAAGGCAATCAAACGATCACCGCTCGTGACCTCCAATCACGTCACATTCTCATTCTCCAACTCTCCGTCCACCTATTTCTTCTAACAACAATCATCAACTCCAATGACCACCTTTGACCACCCCTATGACCAATCACCACATCCATCCACCCTTCACTTCTAACCATCACCTCCATCAACTTACTAAACATATTTCTTCATTTTTGTTTTCATTTCTTTCCAAAAATTTTATATACACTTTCGTTTATGCTTTTTACAAAACAAAACAAAAACTTACTATAGATATTGATAAATAGAAAACCAACAATTGACGAGGTCATCAAAATGACACCTAAGCGCTAAACTACCTTGCCCACTTTTTTTCTTTATATGCATGCATATATCCATTTCTCTTCTTCTATATAAACATACATACATGATATATCATTCACCACAGACAACTGCTACTGATTGTGGGATGTTCAATTCCTGAATTCTGTTTTATAGTATTTTGCTCTGACAAACGATTCTTCTAGTTTTTATGCTTGCATGCTTTGAAAGAGTGATTGAATAACCAAGACATTCACACACACACACACACACACATATATAAATTAAAAAATATATATATAGCTTTGGAAATGGCAAGCTCATGTTGAAGAGGGCTTGAGCTCTTCTTGTATTTGGTTTTTTGACATTGTTGTCTTCTTCATCATATATGAAAATAAAAGAAAGACATAACCTACAATGAGGAAACCCATGCGACTAAATAAAAAATAAAATACCCATAAAATACATCAAGGAAATTAGGAAACTACAATGCTAGAACACTTGCAAAAGAACCCCTTGCCACAGAGAGCTGCTAATGTACCCTCTTGGATGCCCATCTACACAGAGACAGAAGCATGAGAAGTCAGAACATGTTTTTAGGTAATATGTTCTAACATTTGAGATAGCTACTGGGTCAATTAAGCGAGTGGTAACAGGTGCAATAGTGATTGCTAAATGGGAAAAAGGAAAATGATTGAGACCTGTGAGAACACAGAAAAAAGAGTACTACATGCAAAAGATTCAGTTCCATTGTGCAAAGAACTCCTCATCAACTATATCCTTCACAATTAATTAACAAACACAACGCTTCTGTCCAACCAAGACCAAAAACAAAAAAACGAGTTGAGTCCCTCCCTCAAACCCAAACACACCCAGAAAAGGAGTGGGGAGGAAAGGAAAAAAGGAGTGGGGAGGAAAGGAAAAACACACGCACACAAATACACAAGATGATAAAGAAAAACTCCTCCCAAATAATATGGTCTGGCCTGGCCTAAAATAATAAACTGCACTTGTAACATTGGCATGATTTTGGAACAAATTTATTTCTTTATGGAAAAGACTATGGTACATACCCCTAGAAGAGTGTACTCTATGCACCTTATAACTAAAGAAGAAAATTGCATAATTCCATACTTTCTAAATCATAACTATAAAAAAAGAAAAGAAAAAAAAAAGTCATAATCAAACACTACATGAAACATAACCAAACATCTCAAAATAATGTCATAACTAAAGAAGAAAATTGTGTAACTAATGGTGCATATGGTAAGGGGTGTGTATTGTAGAATTCTCCTATCTTTATATATGAAAATGAAAGCAATTAAACATAAATTAATTCACAAGACAAAGACAAACAAGCAATCATGATTTTACCTGGGTATTCCATACATTCATGTCCCAGATTTAGATACAATTAAATAAGTTGTGCTTTTTTCAGGTCAGCAACAACTCCTCTATCTTCATGGCCCCTCTCATTGTAAAGAACCTGCAGAAAATTAAGAGAATAATGTAATTTTACACGACACCTGAAAGCCAGATATAGAAAATAAAAAAATCCTTTTGACTGGAGACATACCTTATCGATAATACCATATTCAACAGCTTCACTTGGACTGAAGTACTTCGGACGCATAATGTCTGCTTCAATCTCCTCAGGTGATTTTCCTATATGCTTTGAATAGAGTTTAACCTTCAATATGAATAAAGAATAGTTAGCGTTTACACGAGCTTCTTTTTCGATTCCTGACTCAATGCAGTCGAATAAGCATAGCGAATTGCAGCATTTTCAAATATGCAACATCCAAAAGTGTTAACGCTAGGACAGCATTGAGTCTTCAGTTTTCATTTGTAATTATGTTCCTTTTGAGATATAAAACGAGACATTAATAGGCAAATCAACTGAAAGTCATTTTTTTCTATAGAGACATTATTGTTAACATATACCTTATAACATTGAAAAATTTAAGAAAAAACTTCTTCAAATTGGTTGGCATGCATGGACCAAAGAGAGGAGAAAATGCGCAACTTAAGTGGTTGTTAACATTACCAATTCTGCCTTCACGTTCTTTACTTCCCTCCTTGCAAGGTCCACATCTGTAGCTTGGCCTTGAAACCTTGCAATTGGCTGCATACATAGGGAAAAGGAATGGATAGTTTTAAGTGATAATCTAATCGATGTCTTAGGTCCAGCAAGTTAGTATAATAACAGCAGTCCAGTAAGCCCTGCCATGCAAGAGAGTTTAAGCAAGAAAGAGCCAAGGATACACAATGGCCAAGGACACCAGAGAGAAAAGACTGAAAACATACCTGCTTTATCATAATAGTTGATGAGGGCAATGCAGAACGATTTCCTTTTGCACCAGCAGCCAAAAGTAAGGCTGCTTCTCCCCAGGCATTGCCCACACAGAGTGTAAAAATAGGGGGTTTAACATACCTGCAGATGAAGAAATTCAATTTCATATAATGACAGGAAAAAAAAATACTCTACTGATAAAAAAATGCAGGTAAACAGAGTGTGTATACTTCCCATACATAGCCTCTTCCACTAAGCTAAAGTCAGCATCACAAAACAGATACGAAAAATTCAAAAAAAAAAAAAGAAAAAAAAGAACAGAAAAAGTATATTACTAACCCAAAAGCAATTCATGAAAATCTGTTAAATACGTATAATGGAAAACTATGTTTGGCATAAACTTTTTGAGCTAAAATAGTCATAAAAAGACAAAATAGGACAAAAAGCCAATAAGACAAAATGTCACATCCAAACCATAATCATTTCATTTTTTTCTCTCACAAAAGTCAAAAAAACCAAAAAGCCCACTCCAAACGAGGCTTCTTAGCCCCAAGTTAAAATTGCCAAAAACTCAAAAAGCCAACCCACATCCCAAACGAGGGCTGATGCTCTGTCAAAAAAGGTAGCCTTCATTTTGACTACTGAAAATATCAGGAAGCAGTGTAAGATTATTGTGATTTGGTGTTGTATCATGCATATACAAGGGATGGAGAAAGTGTCAACTACATTCTCCTTCACTATAGTGTAGCTAGAAGGATACAGAGTCTGATTTTTTATTTTTTGGTCTTTTGAAACGAGTGACTTCAATTTTTTTTTTTTTTGAAAATTGAGTGCTTGATGCCAGACTCTGTTGTTGATTTCTTGGCTTGTTGGGTACTAGGAGTTCGAACGAGTAACTATGAAGCACGGATACAGATACGAGTACTAGTACTGGTACAATACGGATATGTCAATACGATAAAATCTAAAAAAAATATAGTACGAGTACGGCTTGGTACGTTTGTAAAAAAAATATTTTTAATTTAGAATACTGTAAAAATTGATTAAATTGTTTCATTTGTTAAGATCCAACCTACAATTAACATTTAATACCAAAAGTAAAGGTATAAATCAAAATTAAATGTCAATATATTAAATAATTTATAAACTGTGGCTTAATTTTAAAATCATATTAAGCATAAAACTAAAAATAAAAAAGAAGTATAGTTAAATGAATTTTATCTCTATAGTAGAAGAAAATATTATTTTAAGTGAGGTACGGTACAACTTGGGTATGTACTAGGTATGTCTGGGTATGTTAAAAATTAAAAAGAAAAAATTTGGATACGTGTTTTATATACCTGGTACATATGCAGAAGTACCATACACAGGTAAATACCCGGTACAGGTACAACATGTTTTTTGAAGTACCCATGCTTCATAGACGAGCAGGGAGAAGAATGTAAGAAAAGCCACGCCATTATGTGTGATGCAGAATTTTTGGAAGGGGAGAAACCACTTTTGATGGTGTGGAACTTTTCGCTCATTGCTCAAAGGGAAGTCATACTAGAGTCTTTTCCTTTTTTATTCTCATTTATGGATTTTTTTTGGCAGATTTGCACCTGCTTAAGATGCCTCTAATGAAATTCATAGATTAAAAAAATATTCAGAGATAAACTAGTCATGACTAAAAAAATGATAAAGGTTGAGACTTGTGTTAGGTGTCGGGATAGATTTCATAAAAGCAATCAGCAATTATATGTTAACTTAAAGGATTCAATAATTAATTAAGCCAAATAGCCAACAGAAGGGTGCTTTAAATTTAGATTCTTAATTCATTTATCAAAATAGAAGAAGATTCGTAATCTCATTAAAACCATTTTTATCTTCAAAGAGAATATTATCCTCATCTCTGCTGAAAGAGTAACACATAAAAATTTCATCCAGAAAATTATGTACAATATAACCATTCTATGATTTAATGAATACAAGAATGACCTGTTTGATAAAAATAGGCTAAAACTTTCAGTCACACACTAATGAACAGGATACAGATTTAAACCTCATGACATCATAAATTGCAAATGCCTCTGTCTCATAACCTAACTTTTCGCCATCCTGGAAAAAGTGCAAAATTATATCAAAGTAAGATTCATAATATTGACAATCTATTGATCTTGTTTACATAAAAGTAAATGAAAAAACTCTCCATGTAATGATATCAAGACATGGAAATGTATTCAAGTCCAACAAGAAAAGAAAGAAAGAAAGAAAAAGGACCAAAAAAAAAAAAAAAGAGCTCTCAAAGCAAAAGACGAAGATAATACCATGAGATAGTTTTATCTTTTCTACTACCATTGTCCTCTATTATGCAGCACTAATGTATAGCCATTTCTTAACTCAATTTCGTGAATGCAAATCTGGGAACAACAACTGAAACAAAAACCAAACTATTTTTTGATATGTTTCTTCTTTTTCTTTTTTTCTTAAATAACTTCTGTTTCTAAAGATTTTACAAAACAAGCCTTTAGTTTGTTGTAAATTGAATTTGTAATAATTTTTCCATATTATATGTCACTGCGATTTACAAATAATCCCACGATAAAAACCAATGTCACAAGTACTGGAGCAGATTGATGCTTTTATAAATTTCCAAAGCATATTTTTTTATTTCCAGTACACTTCATTAAGTTGATTGCTCTACAAGACCTCCTTAATCCCTTAGGACATGTCCTTGTCCTAAGTGATCAAATTTACTCCGGAAAGGAAGACTATATACTGCTCCGGATTGGCACTATGGCTACTGAGCTTAGCTGAATTTTGTTTCCTATTTCAAGAGAAAAAATTACCCTCTTAACAGTAGTTTTATAAATGCAGCAAGTTTGCAAACCGCAGGTCGATGTGAACTACTCGAGGCCTGTCCAGGAGGTTTGGGAAGAGAGAACAAAACAGGGTGCAGTGGGCTCAGGTGTATTTTAACTGAAAAAATGGGCTATCTTTCCTTACCTATGCTTAGGAGATTGCGCCAACATTTGATTTTAAAACAGCATCCACCATGTTACTTGAGAGATTAGGTGATATCTCGATTTGGGGTTTATATATTTGAAGACCTATTTATGAAGCAATCTAGATAAATAAATAAAAAATTGTTTACCTTTGTTGTCCCAGTGGAATTTATGTAAAGGTAAATTGGCTTCTCTTCATCCTCATACTGAAGATAAAGAAATTCTGCTAATATCAACTCGGTGACAGATGGAACTAGAGACATGCCCAAGTAAACAATCCGATTCTTATACAAGTACGATGCTAAATCTGGAGGAGGCTGCTCCCATGCACTTCCCCTTGAAAAGGGAATTACCTGTTAACAGATGGCAAACAATATAATAGACGGTAGAAGGTAAGCAAAGATACTTCGAGGACAAGAGGTATACTCTATGAAAAGGAGTGACATACTTATGATAACCAAACTCCATATTCACAAAATAGCAAATAACTGTGAAATGAATGTTTAGTCTTAAAAATGCACTCTGAATTTCCCATATTCCGAGAAGATGAAACTACAAATTGGCATCGCTAACCCAATATATGCTACTAGGGATTTTCTTCATATAAAAGGATAGCAACCAGAGAAAACCCTCTAATTAATATTATTGATCAAAGAGTTGAATTTGCACCCCTTCTTCACACATATGTTGCACTACTGTAAGTCAAATTCATAAGCATAGAATCATATCATAACAACCTAATCATACTCATATCAAATCTAAATGGACAAATAAAAACCTGAAGTCTACTAAAAATGATCAAACAAAATCCTAAAAATTACAAGAATATAATACAGTACATACAACTAATATATATATATATACATACATATTTGAAGTACAGATATCAAACCCGCCACTTAAAAAAAAAAACTGGCCTAAAGTTTGCTTTTTGAACTTGAAATCAGGAGATATTTCAAATATAACTACTTCAAATTAATCCCATTTTGTTCACACACTTAACAAAATACAAGTTTTGATTCATCTAAAACAATGGAGCCCCTAATTTTAGGTAGGATCAATACACTTACTTTTTGGATGTGGAGCTCACAGTTTTGGACAAATCAAATTTTGTGTTAAATTAACTCTCCTCATCTCACCATTTTCCCACTAAATTTCCCATCAGCATACAAACATAATGAGCATATATATATATATATATATATACACATAAATTGAAAAACTCTAGATAACAAAGAAGGTGAAGCAAATTTGTGGGTTCTGGGAACAGTACCATGGTGACGACGCCTCTTTTGGGACGAGAGCCGGAGTGAGAGGAGGAGTAAGGGTTGAGAGAGGCGGGGCGGAGCTTCTGGCCGGAGAAATTGCCGGAGACACTGCCGGCGACGGAGGGAGAGAGGAAATTGGAGGAGAGAGAAGCTCTGGGAGAGGACCAACTTAGGGTTCGGTTGGTGGATGAAGATAGCATGCGAGTCACGGTGGTGGTGGTGGTGGTGGTGGTGGTGGTGGGGAAGAAGTGCGAGGCCATGGTGGCGACCTCCATTGCTGCTCACTGTAGAGAGAGAGTGATGGTGTGTGCGGAAGAAAATGCGACTTTGGATTAGAACGGGCTTTGGGATGGGTTCGTGAAAGTTGGTCCGAGCCCCCGTGAGTCTACTCCAACAAGTTCATAGACTCACACAAGGACCATAAATACATAAAATAATTTAATGGGCCATTTTTTGATAAGTCCTATTTATAACTGTTTTGTTCCATAAAATTCAAACTGTTTCTGAATATTCCATTAGGTCCATTAATTGTTAAAGGACGAAATAACCCTCTCCGCCTCCCCCGCGTGAAATCGATTCTGCAAAAACCCATTCCTATTCGAAATATTCAATCCACAAAATTTCCAAAACAAAAACTCAATCGACGAAACGATACTGATATTGCCTCCAGTAACCCTAGATTCCTCTTCGTCTCACCACTGCGAAGCTTCACATCGGAAGGAGGGTGCTTCGTCGTTCGAAGATTCTTGTCGCCCCATTGAGTTTATTTTATCCACTGAGTGTGATCCATACCCACCTCAACCACTGCATGAAATATGATGATGTCATTGTGCGTATAGTACAAACATTCAAGCAATCTAGTGGAAGGTTTTACATTGGGGATAAGAACATCCAGATTTTTAGAAGCGACGTATCACTGATTTTTGGGGTGGATTGCGGCACCAAGTCGATGGACCTCTCTTATGGTGCAAAACCAACATCCGGCATCATACACCGAATGTGCAAGGATGTTAGTCGGTTAAGTGCTGCCAAAATACGAGAAATTCTGAGGGAAGCATTGAAGGGCACAAAAAAACATGACAATGAGGAGGTCGCACGATTAGTTTGCATGTATGCATGCGTCAAGCTATTCTTTTCTACATCCGGAGAAACAATTGGATGGGTTTTCTACTCATACATGGACCCATTACACAAGATGATCGAGTATGATTGGGCTGAGAGCATCCGGGCAACCTTGATGGGTTCATTGGGCCAAAACTGTGGAAAACCAGGACGAGTCACCGGATGTGTGATGTTGTTAATGGTAAATCAAATCTCATACAAGTTATTCTATGTTTAATATGAACATATACGGGCCACACTGATGTGAATGTGAATGTTCACATTAATGTCAGAAACCCCAAACTTCACTCAATACTGTGATGGCGTATGATGTAAACATTCACATTGTGTCATCAATGCCCAAGTTGTTTGTGTTATTGGGTGTAGTTTGGCGTTGTTGGTTCCCCCCTTTGATTTTTAGCAAATTGTAACATAATGTGATCACCCATGTAAGCATTCACATTGCCCCGTAACTGTTGTCGTGTTCGCAATTTATTTCTCAAACATGGATGATGTGCACATTCACATTACTATTGATTACTGGGTAAGTTTAGAGTAGTACACACTGATGTGAACATTCACATCATGTGAATGTTCACATTAATGTCAGAACCCCCAAACTTCACTCAAAACTGTGATGGCGTATGATGTAAACATTCACATTGTGACATCAATGCCTAAGTTGTTTGTGTTATTGGGTGTAGTTTGCGTTGTTGGTTCCCCCCTTTGATTTTTAGCAAATTATAACATAATGTGATCACCCATGTAAACATTCACATTGCCCAATAACTGTTGTCATTTTCCGAATTTATTTTTCCAACATGGATGATGTGAACATTCACATTAGTATTGATTACTGTGTAAACTTACAGTAATAAACACTGATGTGATCATTCACATCACTGTATAATGATGTGAATGTTCCAATTACTGTCAATGCTGGTTGTTGAATGTTGTTTGGTGCTTCGGGTTCCATCCTCTGTGTTTCAACCAATTACATGTGCTCATTTGAACACACATGTCTTCCCCATAAAGTTGATGGCAAGCGAAAGCGAGGGGAATCCCGTTTCAAAACCAAGCCTGATCAAACAGCTGTTCCTGAAGAAGTGAACATGAAAAAAGTGAACTACCGGTCAAATATAACTGGATTGGTCAAACTGTTAAAGGATACGAAATTTACAAGTGGCCAATCGAAGTGCCTTAGAAAAACACCGCTCTGGCCATTATTTGATAGCTTGATCAATAACGAAATCGACCTCAACCACTGCATGAAATATGATGATGTCATTGTGCGCATAGTACAAACATTCAAGCAATCTAGTGGAAGGTTTTACATTGGGGATAAGAACATCCAGATTTTTAGAAGCGACGTATCACTGATTTTTGGGGTGGACTGCGGCACCAAGTCGATGGACCTCTCTTATGGTGCAAAACCAACAACCGGCATCATACACCGAATGTGCAAGGATGTTAGTCGGTTAAGTGCTGCCAAAATACGAGAAATTCTGAGGGAAGCATTGAAGGGCACAAAAAAACATGACAATGAGGAGGTCGCAAGATTAGTTTGCATGTATGCATGCGTCAAGCTATTCTTTTCTACATCCGGAGAAACAATTGGATGGGTTTTGTACTCATACATGGACCCATTACACAAGATGATCGAGTATGATTGGGCTGAGAGCATCCGGGCAACCTTGATGGGTTTATTGGGCCAAAACTGTGAAAAACCAGGACGAGTCACCGGATGTGTGATGTTGTTAATGGTAAATCAAATCTCATACAACTTATTCTATGTTTAATATGAACATATACGGGCTCTGAACACTCTGATGTGAATGTTCACATTTCTCAGCTTTGGTGTGGAAGTTGACAACATTGATGAAAACATTCGCATTACTGTTTCAGTAATGTACAAACACACATTAGTAGATGCTGGTGTAAACATTCACATTAACAGATGTGAACATTCACATCAGTTGTACCACTCACATTACCAGATGTGAATATTCACATTAGTAACATCACTCACCATTAGCAAAATGTGAGCATTCACATAGTAATAACACTGACATGAACAGATGTGAACATTCACATCAATATCATCCCCCACCATTAGCAAATGTGAACATTCACATCAGTAATAGCACTGACACTAACAGTTGTGAACATTCAGGTCAGTAATATCACTCACATTAACAGTTGTGAACACTCACATCAGTAGTATCACTCAACATATGTGAACATTCACATCAGTAACATTACTTCACATTAGCAGATGTGAACATTCACATCAACGGATGTGAACATTCACATCAGTTTTAAGTGATGTAAACATTCACATTACTGGCCTAGTGGTGCACTGTGAACATTCACATTACTGCACCAGTGGTGTAAACATTCACATCAATGTTAATTCATATCCACATTCAAATTACTGATATTTGTTATTTGTTTCAGTATTGGCTGTGTGAGCATACAACAATCTTACAAGCCCGCAACCCCAATGCCATTCCACGATGCGTAAAATAGGACCTCACAGCCTTACATAGCACCATGAAGTCCATAACTCTGGCTAAGCTAGGTTTAAATGAGGTAGAAGTACAACCAAATATATTGTGCTTATTCACATAGTGAGACGAGGAACTATCTAACTAACATACTGTCTCGAAATGCAGGTATATAGCGGCGAGCTAATGGCATCACCAACTGAGGCGAAGATGTATCGTCATACAAAATTGAATGTGGAGCCAAAACCTGAGATTTTGTCAAGTGCAGGAGCAAAGAAAGATGAAAGCAATGAGGATCAAAGCAAAGACAGTCAACGCAGTGATGACAGGGATGCATTTTCTGTCGATGCAGTGGACCTGAATGATGTTGGACATTATATCAACCCCAGCTGTAGCACCCCCAATGCTGAGAAAGGAATCATCATAGCACAACCAACTGAGCCCGACATTGTGGAAGTACTCATGAAAGAAAACCAAAAAGCTTGGGCTCTTGTACGGCAATGGGAAGCGAAATACAAACAGTTGGAAGAATCATGGGAGTTGAGGGCAAGGGTGATTGCTGCCCTTGAAGCCAAACTATTTGACCAATCGGGCTCATCCAATGTAGACATGGACATGAAGACTTACATGGAGTGGAAAGATACAGAAATTCAGCGGCTGACAAAGTTGGTCATCAACTTGGAATGTGAAAAAACAATACTTCAAGACCTTTTTGATGATCAGTCCGTACACATCATCACTCAAGTTGAAGCACAAAAGGCTCATGACAGCCTTAATAACAATCCCACTGCAGCATTGGAACACATTATCAGCCCCCCATCAAGGGTAAAGCGCATAAAGCAGAAGGTAAGGAAAGAACACAGGTTAGACGAGTTTGAATACCCCAACCTGCCTGGTCAGAAGAAAGGGAAAAAGGGAGCCCAACAGAAATCACATGCAGTCCAAATTGCACAAGATTTAGACAAGCAACCACCAAAAAAGCAGCCAACAAAGTCCAAGAAGTTAACCTTGAACAACAAACTGAAGGTCTGGGCTAACATGAACAAACTCAACAAGCAAAAAGTCCAAAACTTGCACAAGAACGGCGGTGCTGAGTAAGTGATCTTACATATCCCCAACTGTTTTTTTTTCCATCATGTTCAGTTCACACACATACTTAATAAATTAGATCATTTCATAAATGTGCAATGTTGACATTAAAATTTTCTGTAATCACAATGCACAGGTTGCTAGTGTGGCGAGGGGACTCAAAGACTAAACATGTGTATTTTGATGACATCATACACATCATCAAGGAAGAATCAATAACCAACAACGTATGGCAACTGTAAATGTGTACAAAAAACACACACACACACACACACACACACACACACACACACACACACACACACACACACACACACACACACACACACACACACACACACACACACACACACACACACACACACACACACACACACACACACACACACACACACACACACACACACACACACACACACACACACACACACACACACACACACACACACACACACACACACACACACACACACACACACACACACACACACACACACACACACACACACACACACACACACACACACACACACACACACACACACACACACACACACACACACACACACACACACACACACACACACACACACACACACACACACACACACACACACACACACACACACACACACACACACACACACACACACACACACACACACACACACACACACACACACACACACACACACACACACACACA